CGCCGTTACAGGTCGCATTGATGCCCTGGATGACTGTTGCCCACTCTCTATTGCCAGGCTGGATAGTCTTTGGTCGTCCACGTCTCTTTGAAGCTGTAACAACAGCTCTAGGGGCAATCTAGCCTATTATAAAGCTGGTCTTGTTAAAGTTGTACGTGTCGTTATCTACAATACCATACTTAGCTTTTATGCGGGCTACTAGGTTAAACCAGGCCTAGATAGTCTTAGGATCCTTATAGAGGGCTCTCTTATAGTCGTACTTGCGATTAAAACGCGTTACAAGCTTAGATTAACGTTTGACGAAGGTACTAGGCTAGTTTTGGCCAACCTAGTCTAGATTACGCTTAGCGCGCAAGGAATTGGCTATATTAGCCACGTCTGCGAGCTAAGGGGGAAATCCACGCGTAACTAGCTCAAGTATATGCTTAATAATTACGTCCTCTTTAAACTTAGTTAGATTCCTTATTTTTGGCCAGCAATCTACCTGTGAAGGTCGTCTGTCGCGTCTTTGGCTTAGTGTTGTTTGATCTACGTTATAGATAGCTGCAGCGCGTCGTAGAGAGAGAGTTGTATCTTGTTTAAGAGCTTAAAGAGCAAGCTATATCTAACATTCACTAGAGGGCTGTAACTGCTGTTGTTGTTGCGACATTAGGGTGGGGTAGTAGTTTTGGTGAGGGCTTGGCAAAAGTGGCTCGCGAACCCGTGTGGCTCGCGAAGCCGTGGGGGTACGTTACTGTTAATTGCGTTTCTAAATATATTACATATATGATTAAAATTGTGTATATATATAATGTCTCACTATAATATATAATATATACATATATACATATATACAACACAGCCGCCCGCCGCCGCCGCCACCGCTTGAAATAACGGATAATCTAGGTACTTACGTACTTGGATTTCTGCGTGACACTCTTACTTAATCTACAATGTACATCAAGACAAAGAAAGAATAAAAGAGGCCCCCCCCCCCCAAAGAAAAGAAAAAAAAGAGGAAGAAGACTTGAGAATTCAGTTTTCGCAATCTTGAATTTCCCCTAGTCTCTAGTCTGAATTTTGAGGGTTTTTTTTTGCAATGTTGCCCATCTTTTTCTAATTCCAAGGGGGGGGGGAAGTCCGGTGAAAGTGTGGTACCAGGGTATCGTGCGTATTTCACGTGACAAGCGCGCTTCTGTCCGCAGTTCTTAAGTAGTTATAACTTGCACATGCGTACATGGTACATAAGCCAGAGGGGGGGGGCGGTATCTAGCTATATGTAACACACACAAATCCATACACACCCACTCCGACCATAACCACTGCAGGAAGAAAAGATTAGAATCTATTAATTAACAAATAAATCAATAAATCCATAAATAAAAAAAATGGCATCAGAAATCACAAGCACAACCACAGATAAAGCAGCAACCTGGCAGCCCCTCTCCACACACGACGTCCCCGCTGTAATGCACATGGCGAATACCATGCACGCCTCACTCCCCGAACGCGCAGCCGTCTTCGAAGAGCGTATTGCGCTGTTCCCGCGCGGCTGCCTGGGCCTGTTTGACGCGTCCAATAGGCTATGCGGGTACCTGATTTCGCATCCGATTCGGCGGGGCCAAGCACCTGCGCTGGATTCTTTGCTGGGAGAAATCCCAGGCGACGCGGATCAGTATTATGTGCATGATTTGGCGATTGCAGCGGGATTCCGGGGCACGGGGTTTGCGCAAAGGGGAGTTAGTGGGGTTTTGGAGGGCGTGGCAAGCGGGTATGCGACGAGTGGGTTGATTTCCGTCTATGGGACTGGGGCATTTTGGGCGAGGTTTGGGTTTGGGGAAGTGGAGGAAAAGGATGAGGAGGGGGGTTTCGCGGACAAGATACGGGGGTATGGCGAAGATGCTGTGTATCTTGAGCGGAAGAATGGCTAGTAGAGAATGAATGTGTGAAGAGATGGTACGTGTAAAATTACAGGCATCTATTTGCTTGCATGTGCAATTGGATCTCGCGACCGTTTTCTACTGAGCGCAGACTGCATTCAAGTTCAAGGCCGAGCATTGACCAGACCTACATCTTGCAAAGGGCCTGCATGGTATCCTTTGTGTTTTGCGAGGATTCCTTGACTAGCTTGATGAGGTCTTTGAATCTGTGTCGTGTCAGGCTGTGCTCGGATTTCAGTTGGGATTGTCCACGTACTCAGGCTTGCTCGCATCTCCGACAAACTCGTACAGGAAGCTCTCGCTCGTGGTTACAACGGCGCCTTCGTGCCTCAACCTGGCCAGGGCAATGGGAACTTCCTCCTTGTTACAGCTGCTGACGCCATCTGCCATGACGTATACTTTGTGGCCGTTGCTGAGCAGATCGAGCGTGGTCTGTGTTATGCAGACATGGCTCTCGATACCGACAATGATGCAGGACAGAGGGCCGGGGGCATTGAGCGAGTCGAGGGCCTGTTGGACTTGGGGGGTACTATGACAGTCAGCGTGGGGTCAGCGGTCAGGGCCAGCCGACATGCATCATAGAGAACAAGGTCTTGTCCAGGTGACAGACGGTCTTGACGCCATCGGGGTGGTCCAGCTTCAGCTCCGAGCACGTCTCGCCCAATCGCGCTCGGTTCTGCGTGGTTGCAATGACGGGAATGTTCAGCACCTGGCCTGGGGGGGGGGCGGTCAGCACCATTGGCGGGGAGCATGGGGTGGGTGACAGACTGGCTCTCAGCAGCTTCTGTGCTGTCAAGAGGACCCTGGGAAACTCATGGATGGCGGGACGGAATTTTTCCTGCAGGTCGCAGATGCTGCAGCGTCATGAGAAGGAGTCTTGGGGGGGGGGGCGGTCGGCGGGGAGGGGCGGCATACAAGAGTGCGGGGTTCGCTAGGGACCATCAGCCAGTGTTGTGCGGGAGGATGGTGGCTCAGGCCGTGCAAGTGTACCTATGCGTGGGCGGCCAGTGGGTGAGGCAAGTGGGCGGGAGGACGAGTGCAGTCGAGTGC